TCAAGAGACTGTATCAGACATGCGTTTTTTTAATTCCAGGTTGCTTCTCTAAAAGTTTACTGGACAGTCGATTTTAATGTAGTAAACAAGAGAAAAAAGTATGTTTAAATTTTCATGAGCCAAAAGTATTTTTTAAACCAAATTTAACCCGCCAACTCTTTTGATCCACCCTATAGATATAAATCCCAGTCACAGGACAAGCTAGGCGGATGTAACGAAAATTTAGATAATGGGGTGTAGTATTAATCTGAATTTACAAAAAAAAAACTTTTTGGATTCACAAAATTGGGTTTGAAATTTAAAAAATATGGGTGCAGTGTCATAAAAAAAAACTTTTAGATTTGTTGGACAAAAATAAAGGAAGTTAATACAACGATATTTTTTCTTTTACTTGTCACAATGGCAATATTAACTTTCAACCAAGCCAAAATTTCATATTTCAAACAATCAACTTCAATTTTCAAGTTGCATATAATTTATATCAATCGATCTGAAATGTTCAAAAATGTCCAAAATTTAAAAACCATGGTGATTGCTACACAGTTTGAAAGATAGTTTTCTGGGACACAATGTGTAGAGATTTCATTCGTAATCGTAATCCTAAAATGTTTTCATTATAGTTCGATATCTTTAACAGTGCTCTCGGTTCAGCGTGTTCCTAGAAGGAATATAGTGGAGGAAGCTAATGATAGAAAGTTTCCGAGTTTTATTTTCATCCTTAATGATGCCAGAAGAGATAAACATTTAACAACTTCTTTGCAAAGTGTGACCTTGGATCCTTTAATCCATTAAAAGCAGGAAATACAGGAAATACCCAGGAAAAATTAGACATTCGACAAAAAAATTTATTTGCAAGAAGCTAATATTTTATTGTCTGATTTGTATAGATTCATCTAGGGTTTTTCATTCGCAAAACTTATGCGCAATTTTTGCGAAAGAAAGCAAAAATTTTTGCTTTCGTTGCGTTACATTTTTGCGCAAAAAAATAGCACTTTGCGCAAACATTTGCAAACTTCATTTCGCGCAAAATTGCGCTATTCTTTTATCGCAATTTTGCGGAACACATTCTCAGTAAAAGGTTAAATAAAGGTGTAAACTGTATAAATTAGTTTTAAATAAAATAATACTAACAAAACAGAATTCTAGACTGTTATTTATGGCAGTGTTTACATCTCTGAAATAATGTTGAAAAACTGGAGTGCATGAACTCCCTTCTTAATCGAATAGTTCTCAAAAGATTTCAAAATGATAAGTAACACATACAAACAGAAAGATAGGAATAGCTAAAAGATTTAACAATGAAAATAATAATTTATTAGAACAGTAAGCTTTGTCAATTCATATTTGAGGCAATCTATTGCAAACTGCTAAATGGTTCCTTTAAAAAGAAAGAAAAAACCGAAATTGTTTTCTTCTTTAGTTTCCTTATACAGTCTTCAATCCTTGCTTTTCATAGATAAATAAATAAACATAGATAGCTTATGTACGCAAAATCACCAAGAATTGTACAGTCCGCGAACTCGTACTTCTAGGGGTCAAAGTGTACTTCAATGATAAGCGGGGTGGTTTGGTGTTTTAATGGATTTCATAATTATTAAACCACTCAGGAGGGAATTTAAGTTGAGAATTTCAAATTATTTCACTGAGCAATATATCATATTGACGAGAACTGTAGAAGGACATGAGAAGGACTAAACTAACTTAAATTTCTTTTTACAGAACTCATGTACACCACAAGTACTCAATGACATAAGAACAGCCAATGTTCACAACCGACCTAGTTAATCTATATAATAGGAATATCTTTAAAACATCTCTGTACATTTATATCTTTCAAGATGAAAAATGTCGTCTTATGCGCAATCTATCTTTATCTATGGCTTTTTATATCTCTAATTAGCTAAAGTGTTGAACAAACCCATGACAACTTTAGCATTTTGTATTTTCTAAAGTTTGATAATTCCATAAATCCGATTCATCTGTCGTTTGACCCGAATTCCTTCTCAACTTTGATTAAGGGATTGTTCATCGTTTTGAAATGTACATTGCAAAAATATCAGAATATCAAATGCCAAATGATCAAAAATCTTTAAATGATCAAAAAACTGTACTCTAAACAATTAGGACAACAATTTTTTTTTAAATATCATATCATATCAAGGTATTCTTAAACATATTTTTATGATAAAACGTCTGTAAAATGCAAGCTATTTTTTATTCTTTCTCTTCTCTTCTATTTTCTACTCTTCTCTTCTATTTTCTTCTCTTCTCATTTCTTCTCTTCTCATTTCTTCTCTACTCATTTCTTCTCTTCTCATTTCTTCTCTTCTCATTTCTTCTCTTCTCATTTCTTCTCTTCTCTTTTCTTCTTTTTTCTTCTATTTTTTCTTCTCTTTTTTCTCATCTTTTCTTTTCTTCTCTTCTCCACTCTTCTGTTCTCTTATCTTTATTCTTCTCTTCCATTTTCTCCTCTTTGTTTTCTCTTTGTTGTCGACATTTAACCGGTTTTGAGATGAACAATGCAGTACGATCCGTTGTTACATTTCTAGCTTTTAGACCTAATTGAAACTTACTGCGTTTGTACTCCATAATTATACATTTGATCATTTGGAATTTGATATTTTGATATTTTTGCGCACATGTAACTCGAGTTTCTGAAACAGGGACATAATCGATTCAAGCTTTAATACCAAAGCTCTAAAATATCTGTCAGGAACAAAATTAAAATACTTTCTGTTAAAAAAAAACATTACATTTTTGCTTAAAATGAATAGGCCTACAGGCTTGTCAATGACCTTTTCGCATTTTTGGTATTTTGATTTAAGCTATTGTGGCGGATATGAATGTCGTCATCCGAGTTGTTTCTAGAGAAATCCAAGGGGGCGGATTCTATCAGCTGATTCTACTTGTGATATNTACTGTGGCGGATATGAATGTCGTCATCCGAGTTGTTTCTAGAGAAATCCAAGGGGGCGGATTCTATCAGCTGATTCTACTTGTGATATTTTATTCGAGATATTTCTTTCTTTATTTACTATATAGATTTAGATTTTCAATAAAGTTAATCGTTCAGAACTCTTTTTCCTGTAAATAAGGTAACCTTGACCTTTCCCTAGCTTAGAGGCATTAAACATTATAGTTAACTGTCTCTTTAATCCATTTATAAAGTTAGCTGGCTCCTGAGTAGAAAAGTTTAGCAATATTCCAACCACTCAACCATAAACCTTTCCAAAATGTTTATTTTATATCTATCCAGTTATATTTTTACTAAGGTCCAACTCAGAAATTTTAAATTCTGTATTTTCAATTTCAAGTTTGCATGATAAAATGAAAGTTTAAAAGTGAAAAGATACAAACAGGGTTCTCCTCAAAGATTGATATTTAGTCTGAAGATTTAATTTGGGGTTTCTTCATTACAAACATGATAAATGGTCGAGTATGCTAAAATGTTATTAGAAATGGAGTTATTAACAGTAGGGATAATCATGGTAAAGTTACCTATCTAAAACTAGATGTGGGATGCACGATACATGTACAATGTACACTGTACACCTAAATTTTGAAAGTGAAACTGATTATTGGTTGGTTAGCGTACATTTTCACTCTATTCACTTAAACCTCGTTGGCATTGTGCATTCGGCTTTTGAATATTTTAGTTAGGGGAGGGAGGGGTGGCTGCTGTCAGGGTTTTGGAGTGCTCCTGGTTTTAAAGGGCCCTTTAAAACAGAAAATTGAAAAAAAGCTCTGTGTACCCCTTTTATACTGTCTTTGTTTAGATATTTATATGAAAATAAATCCCAAATTTCAGTCCAAGTAGCCTGTGGCGATCATATAGTTTTGATTAGCCAAACTGACGACATTTGTTTTAGCTTATTCATAAAAGATTGTTGGTAAATGTAAAAAAAAAATCTTTTTTAAGCTAGATATATAGAAGTTTCATTTGAGCTGGTCTAATACATCTCAACATATTTATAAATTATCTTATTTCCAAGTTTTTTTTTAAAGAAAATCCAATTTTACGCTTTAAAAAAAGCCTTTAATTGATTGGTGCCATTACAAAATGCGTTTTTACTCAACAGTCTCAAAATCAAAATTGTTCTATGTCAAATTTAGAGCCTTCTATATGGCCCGAACTATGCCGAAAATCATCAAATTATTGAGATATCTGAGAAAAACTATGTTCTTTCTGAGCAAATTTACTGCAAAACCCTGAGAGCAACTCCAAAATCCTGCCCTGCAAACCAAGTAACATTACTAACATTAAATCATAAGGTCAGGGTAACATTATCTAACGGTACTAACAATTGTACGTAATATGTATCGTTACAGATTGTTAGATAAAGTAAAATAACGTTAAATAACGTTAAATAACCTTATATTCCAATGTTTACCTGTTATGTTAAATAATTTTCGTTTTAACGTTATTTTGTAATGTTGGATAATGTTGTTTTTGTAATGAATACGTCATTTTGTCACATTAACTTGTAATGTTAAATAACATAATTTTAGTAACGTTACTTGTAGGTTTATTTTTACATAACAGAACGTCTCAGAATTATGTTACATTACACTAAACTCAGGGAATATTTGTTCCAAAACTAATACTTGGCCCATTTCTAACACCGAATGTTAGAAATGGATCAAATCTGCAAAGTTATCTTTTTCAAGAGTATATATCTTTAAATCCAAGATGAGTAGAACAAAATTACACCATATATTTATGAAAAATGGCTATTATTTTATGTTGAAACCATAAATGTCAATTTTAAACTAATACAAAGGTGTGAAAATTAGTTTTTGATGATTCTTGATTTCATTTCCGAACATATCCCTATTTTGAAACAATTTCCGAATTTAGCTCATGTCGCATTTTCGGAACATATCCGGAATTCATATCAATATCAATTTTTAAGCATTTACGCACTTAAATAACAAAATAAGGTTTTTTGATAAGGTATTCAATATATATTATATGCCAACCTAAGATTTATATTGTTCAGGAGAGTGAGCGAGCTGTGCTGGGTAGAATAGTTCTGACGTGGGGTCTAGGACTGGTCCTAGCCTCACCAATACCTGTTCTAGCTGTGGTTGATATTGAGCATGTGATGGCAGCACACGACAGGTAGACTCAAAAAACTAAATTCACATTGATCGTTGTTACTCGTTACTACAACATGATTGTTAAAACAGATTTATTTCTGAAAGTATTCAGAGCACACTTTTAGAGTTACAATTTGTAATCCATATTTATTTTTGATTTCCACAACTTTATTAAAACTTCAGAGATTTGCTTTTATTTCGAAAATGATACATTTTGCTTTAATACTGAGGGATTCCTGATGAATCTCAGTTGGAAAAAATTTTGTTGAAAATCAATTTTTGATTAGTTGGTTTGGTTATAGTCAGGATAGGGTTTGTATACACATATTTTGACTGCAAAGAGTAGGAGAAGGAACTACCCAGTTAACCAAAAAATGTTGTTGGGACATTTTATAGATGGTAGTTACGTTCTTTCATCGTTTCCTTAACTATTTCTAAAGCTTAAAAGTCTCAAACAGTGCTTATAGTTCCTTAGAACGTCCTGAAAACATCCTTGGAAACTGTATATTTATAAATGTAGTGTTGTTGAGTAAAGGTCAGTGATCAATAATAATTGGATACGTTTGATTTCCACTTCCTAGGTCATTTGGCAGGTTTTGACAACTTTTAGTTTTATGAGTAAAAGAATGCTTAATAGTAGTTTAGAACAAATCCTGAATCATCGCCCAACCAATATTTGTAGACCTACAAAATTCTAGTCCCTTGTTGTTTCTCGAACACTTCTGGTTTGAAACAAAACTTGGCAAATTTCAAAGGTAGGGTAGGAAGGTTGGGTTTGTTTACAAACTGTTGTTTATTTACCTCAAACCACAAAGATCATTTTAAATACATCGCATAATAAACAAAACATATCCCCCCTGCCTTAGGTATACATATCTTGATTTCTATTATGACATAAAGACTAAACTCATCTTGTCTCTTTAATCCAGTTGGCTGCATTGTAAGAACTGGTTATGCTTTGAGAGCGTACAAAATTTGTTTACAGCGAAAAGGAGTGTTTGCAATAAATTAAAGGGGAGGCTTACGTCGAAAAATATTCGATGGTGATCGCTACTAATCTTACTTTTATTTGTTGCATGTATAAGGAGAAAATTGTTAAAAAAATTGTTAAGCCTAAACCATCTTTCATTTTTTGCGAACACTCCCTTTAAGAAGAAAAAAATATTTTTAACACATTAAGATTATAAATGTTATGAAATGTCAACCACCCACTTTAGCACTAAATGTACTTTGGCTGGGGCATAAATTTTATCACACTCACAATGTTTGCTAATTAGTCTCAACGTTACAAAACAAACTTTTAGCTTATATTTGAGTTTACTCTAAGTACAGATAATACAGATAGGACAAGAAAGGTATAGTGTTGTTTCTAATGTGATAATGTTTGTGCAATATGTGTAAATTGTTAAAAAAAAAGATTTTGTGAACAAAGAGTTACCATAAACAAAACTCACTATCATAACTCAAAGTTACAGAGGGAGAAGTTTGTTTAAACCTTACTGTGAAGTACAAGAACAGCTTTTTGGAACTTTAAATGTAGTTTCAAGTGACTGACCAATTCACAATGGCACCCTGTAAATCTTTTTCTGATCCTCGGCTACAGATTAATCGATGTTATAATAACGGTGTTTAACTTACCGAGAGCTCCAAAGTGTTACACTATAGCGTATAAAGGAAACTCAGCATGGCTGACTGAAAATCACGCACCTCTGACCCTTCAGTAAAAGTAAATTCAATCTAAAGTCTGACTGCGTCAACCTTGTTGCACCAGCTAGTCCTATTGAGTGTCTGCTTTATTTACCCAATGTCCGGGCGATACAGTACAAACTGGGACCGGAAAGGTTGTCCCGGCTAGGAAATTCAAATGTACTACGGCTGCCCGTGAAATATGTCTTGAGAATCTGGAATATCTGGTCCAACTCAGTGTTTGAAAACTTGAATAAAAATATTTATTTTCTGCATCTTCTAGAAAATAAACATCAATATTTTAAAATACAAACACCTTGCAAAAGAAAGCTATGCAACAATTACAAGCATTTTTGTGAACAAATGTTAAAGTAAACATAGGAGAAATGTAAAGTTATCTTTCTCATCTAGTTTTGAAATATGTGATTTATGGGTTATAAATTAACTTCTTATGTTAAGGCATTTTTATGTGCCTTTACAGTTTTTGCAGGGGGGAAATTCTATTTTTTTAAATAATTATAAAGGCAACCGCTCTGACTGATAGGCATTGGCAATACCGGAGAACGAATTTAAAGAATTTTAGCCGCGGCTTAAATCCGCCAAAACCCGGTTTAAATTAAGCGCCGGCTTAAATCTTAAAAGATTTGATACAATTTTAAGTGGAACCATCCATATTTAAGCCGCGGCTTAAATTTAAGCTGCGGCTCAAATTCTTTAAATTCGGCCTTGGGTTCTTCTGTTAGTGAAGAATAATCTGAACCTAGTTTATGGACTTGTCTAATTTTGGCCGCACATTGTTTTTAGATTCACTAATTTGACCATGATGTGTTCAGGTGCGAGGTGAAGAACCGACATTTCCGTTTGCTGGGATCTCTGTTCTCCTTCTATATACCCATGCTTATAATGGTTACAACATACATCCTTACAGTACATCAACTCTCTAGAAAGGAAACTTTTACACTAAAGCAAAACCAAACAGTCCAAAATGTTTACATTTTCAAAATTACCTAAAATTTATTTTATTTTGACAAATGTTACATAAGGAACTAAAATTTTAAAATCAGGTTGCAAAGATATACGTATTAAAAGAAGAAATGAAATCAGTTTCTTTAGGATCTACCATTTTTAAAAATTTTCAAACTTCTTGATCCTTTTTTTATATAGAACTTTTTATTTTTGAATTTCTTTTTCCTCCCATACCCCCATTTTATAGAGTTAATCAAATCAATCTAGGCCAGAATCGTTGAGATTACTTTCTAAGAAAAAAGGAAATTGAGAAGGAAAACCATTTAAGATTATATATTTTTCAGCAAAATCCTCCATAAGAAAAAACTTTAACTTATAATTTAGTTTTTCAATCCAGTTTAGGCTGCTCATGTTGAATTTTATTATACGTCTTGACGCATGGTGCTCGGTTTTTACAATCAAATTAAAAAACAATTTTAAGTTCTGATTGCAAAACCATATCTAAAGCTCTTTTGGTGATGAGAAAAAAGAAAAACATACTGGAAAAACATACTAACTTTTTCATGTTCAAAAATCAAATTAAAATAATTATAAGTTGAAAGTTTAAATTTGAAATTTAAGTCTTAAGCTCTCTATTGTGAAGAGAAATTTAGAAATTCAAAATGAGCAAGGGGCGAATGGGAAATACATGGTATTCAAATTTTTTAATGTTTGAACTTTTGTTCATTACATTTTTTCTTTCCAAAGTTATGGTTTTACATGGCTAATTTCCAAAAAATACAATATTAAAGCGTTCACAAATAAAAGGAGGGGAGGGGAGGAGGGAGGGGAAGGGGGGTGTAAACATAGAATGAACTTTGAAATTTCATGGTATCAATCATTACTTTCTTCTTATTTTTAAATAATGAAAAATTTGTTTTTTGAAAACCGTTTGAGTGAAATATCGCATGCTCGAGTTTTTATCACTAATATACATCAAAACTAAAACTATACAGTTATCCAAATAAAGTTAGGAATGTTTTTTTTGCAAAATATACAGCTGATCAGTTGAAATCAACTAAATGAATTATGTTTCATTATGTTTTTTCTACGATATAGAAAATCGGGGATTTTACTGGATTCTGCGCTTGAAGCGACCAACGTTTTTCACAATTTTCTCATCATCAAAACATTAGATGAAAAAAGATTGATACCATTGATTTACAATGAATTGAGTCTTTGCTACAAACTCGAATTTTCGAATCCCGATATCTTCACAACCTGATGGTTTAAAACTTTAATATTTCAGATGTGATCTAACAGAATTTACAGTTTGAAATATCTAAGGTCTGCGAGGTTGGGTTCCAATGATATATGGATAAGAAAATCAAAGTTTGAAGCAAAGAATCAATTCCTTTGATTTGGGTTTGGCCCAAACCTCTTTCTTTTTTCATAAACAATCCCTTTAAAACTTACTGCACTCGATTCTCATGCTTTCTGGGACATCCTGTAAACATGATCTAAAAATATCGCTCAACAAAAATTCATTAAAGTTTGTAAGTTAAAAATGCAGGCTTCAAACTTTATCAAAGAAATGAGAAAAAATAATATTGTTTAACGAAATATAAAGTTTGTGTAACATGCAAAAAATGCAATCTTTTAAAACTTATCGCTTAGTATTTACAATTTTTTCAGGCATAATATATAGAAAGTATAAGATATACAACTGAACTTTTTTCATCCTATACAATCATAGAGAATAGAATATATATTAGAGGGGAATTTACTAGAAAAAAGTGTAAAACGGACATTTTGTTGTACTGTTTCCATACTGCAGGTGTACTTCACATATTTATGCTATATAACCTTTTGGGCCCTGGAATATTTTTTTATAGAAAATCTAAAATTATTGTTAAAAGAAAACCAAATTATGAAATAGGCTGGTTTCATAATTGACAAATGATCATTTCACATAGACTCTATGCCTTCCACTTTACCAACGATGATTTTCCGTTATAACTAAAAATAAAATGATGTTTTTTATTCACCTAATTCATTATAAAGTGTATTTAACAGTTTAAAAAATTCGAAATTGAAATGAATAGTCTAGGGAACATACTGTATTAATGTACTCTACTGGATATAATTTGTGAACATTTACATGATTTGTACACTTTGAACTCTGAAAGGGACTGAAAAAATTCATACCGAGAGATTCTTTCAATTCCCCTCTAATACATATTCTATTCTCTATGTATACAATAAACCAATCTTAAGATTGCTCAAGAAAATTACGGTTATATTTAAATAAAAAAAACTAACTAAAAAATAAGTAAAAGTAATTCTTATTAACTTTACATCACACTTGACAAAGGTGTGATAAACAAACCGAAAAATAAAAAAAATCTTTACAATCCAATATTTGTAATATTATTTTTTAGTTTAACCTTGATATTAGAAATATGGTGGTATTTCTTGTTCTTGTAATTTGTTTTGGTTTTCTATCATGCTTAACAAAAACTTATAATGGATGAGCAAACTTTAGATTCGAGAAAAATTATAGAAATCCTTTCTATTTGAAGGGACTAAGAATTTATTGAAGGTATATTGCCATTTTACACTAAATTAGAACTACGAAAGAATGGGAACCCAGAACCGTGATGTAGAAGCGCTTCGATTTTGTTTATTAGCGGTGATGAATAAGAATTCTAATAATGATATTTCTTATAATTTCTACAATGGACAAATCTTCCACACGTTCAAATCATGCGTTAAAAGCATATTTGCTGGGCTGGCATCTTTTAACAGAGCTGAAAACTTTAGAATGGTGGATATCGGGATTAAAGCTTAATCCACTCTTTTTCTTAATCTCGAGATTAAATATTGCTTGTTCTCCTCTCATTTTTAATCTCCAGATTAATTATCCGATCAGGATTAAGGATATCCCATTCAAAAGTTCCCATCTCAGATAAGATAAATAAATCTCTTTGCATGATATACATGAGGCGACATTTCATTCGTCCCACTTTCTGTCCGTCCCATAGGGCTATATACAAAAGAGCTAATACGTTGTCCTGTTTATATGCCGGACTATTTGCAATCCGAGCTTAGCTCCGGGTCCGTATGAGGTCTGAAGGGGTTAAATCAATTGAACTATCCTATCTGAGTTAAGCTCCGGGTTCGTATGAGATCTGAAAGGGTTACATCAATGGAACTATCCCTATTCCGAGCTATTGAGCTCACACCGGTTACAGTTTATCTTTGATACTTGAAACTATAAATTCTATTCGTTAAAAAAATCAATTACATTTTTTTTTATTTATCCGACTGCCGACTGCAAATGTGACCTGGTTAAATTTTTTTTTAAGTTTTACAACGCTAAGATTTGCACTAGGGTCTTTTTCAAAGTAAAGATTTTATAAGTTGAATAAATGACATTGTTTGATATAAATTGCGATTAACATTCCTGAAACTTTCTAGAACTTTCAGGGACAGATTTTATATTGTAAAAAAACATCTATCGACAAAATGACCTTTAGTTAAATTTTGCATTTCACGGAAAAAAATATACTGCTAAAGAAGTAAAACTTACCTGGATTTTATACAATATCAAGTTTGAACAATTTAGTCCAAAAAGTTTTGTGATGAAACCAAGTTTTGAAATGCAGTTGGCATGAATAGAAGATCTAGATTACCCTCATTATATTTAACTAAACCAAAATATTTGATTTATCTTCTAAATATTACAATTCTCAACTTTATAGTTTTCTAACTGTTATATCTTTGAAACCTGATGTCAAATACTTTTATTATTTCGAACTGGGTTAAATAGTAAAAGTTTAAAATATAAAAGCTCAGATATAGTTAACGTTCGATCTGTCAAGCAGAGATATTTAGGGTTATATCCAGGGATATCCAGAGATATCCAGGGATACCCAGAGATATCCAGGGATATCCAGGGATATCCAGGGATATCCAGAGATACCCAGAGCTATCCAGGGATATCCAGAGATATCCAGGGATATCCAGGGATATCCAGGGATATCCAGGGATATCCAGGGATACCCAGAGATATCCAGGGATATCCAGGGATATCCAGGGATATCCATGGATATTCAGGGATATCTAGAGATACCCAGACATATCCAGGGATATCCAGAGATATCTAGAGATATCCAGAGATATCCAGAGATATCCAGAGATATCCAGAGATATCCAGAGATACCCAGAGATATCCAGGGACATTCAGGGAGATCCAGGGATATCCAGGGGTATTCAGAGATGTCCAGAGATATCCAGAGATATACAGAGATATCCAGAGATATCCGGAGATATCCAGAGATATCCAGAGATATCCAGAGATAACCAGAGATATCCAGAGATATCCAGGGGTATTCAGAGATATCCAGGGATATCCAGAGGTATCCAGGGGTATTCAGAGATACCCAGAGATATCCAGAGATATCCAGGGGTATTCAGAGATATCCAGAGATATCAACTGATATCCAGAGATAACCAGGGATATCCAGAAATATCTAAAATTCCAGTATATTTCAGAGAGTTTTAGGACAAACTTGAAAATTAAGAAGATTTTTAGAGAGTTTTAGGACAAACTTGGGGGTTCTAGGAGAGTTTTTCAGAGAGTTTATTTTAATCTACTTTAAATTTTGTGTTTTCCTGAACAATATGTAAAAGTTTTTGATTTAGAAAAATCAAGCTTTGACCAGCTCTCGTCACGTGGTTACAAGGTAAAATAAAATTAAATAAATTCTTTTTGATAAAATTATTCAAAATTATATTTTGCTTTATATCAATATCAATCCATCAATAACTAGCTGAAGTACCCGGCGTTGCCCGTGAAATTTTTAAAAATTAAATTTATAAAGAAAATTTAAGTTTTTTGAAGGAAAAAATTTAGATTTCTGAACAAAAATTGGATTTTTGAAAAAAAAATTTATATTTTGCATTAATAAAATGCCAGTGTTACGCGAGCCATGCTACGTGAAGAAAGTCTGTTTGTCGCCCCTGCGTATTTCTGAGTTTCTCCTGAAGATCTGTACGGAATGTATTGTGAAGAAACTGGTTTAGGAACTGTTTACAGTCCGACTGCGCAGACGCAAGATTTCTTTCAAGTGACTGACCAATTCACAATGGCACCCT